TTGCAGCTCGCAGCCCCGGGATGAGGTCGCTGGCTGATGGGAGCCCTGCGCCACGGAACTGCCTTCGTGGGGACGGGTTTGGGGAAGGTAAACTGTCAAAACTGCTTGGGCAACACTGGGGGCAAAATAAGGGGAAATGATGCTGGGCGTTACGCTGCTGGAAATGGCAGAGTCCAAATGTCTCGCAGAAATCGACTCCTTTCTGCTCTATTCCCTTTCCCTGCAAAAACGCTGTTTGCCTGGGCAGTTGAAACTCAGTTTAAATGCAGGTGACGAGGAAACTCCAGCAGCAGCTGGAAAGAGAAACTTTGCGGAGCTGTCGCAACAATGAGTGCTGGCAGAAGGCCGTGGAAGAGCTCATGGTTTGGTAATGTTTGTTTTCAGGCTCCTCCAAGAAAGGTGGAAGAAGTGGTGAAGTTTGCTATTGATGCAGGCTACCGCCTCTTCGACTGTGCCTATTTCTACCAGAATGAAAATGAAATAGGGAATGCAATCCAGCAGAAGATCAAGGAGGGGGCTGTGAAACGGGAAGACCTCTTCATTGTCACTAAGGTACAAGGATGCAGGATTACTGGGGCATTTAGCTATTCTCAAAGAGAAACTCTCGTTCCATCTGTAAAGTAACGTAAGGACTTACTCCCTTCTACGATATTAATTTCATTGTTGTCTCATTGTGTGCTATAAATTCCATCCTTTATTTGCAATTTGGACTGAGCTTTACCTACGGAACCATTGACAACTTTGGAAAGATAGCTGGCTGTTGCTGATCTAATAATTTTCTTGCATCTATTAAGTCACTTAATTATACTGAAGGTTCATTTGCATGCACCCTAGAAAGATCAGAAAAAAAAGGCAAGACAGATGTCTGAATTCAGAGGTGCTGTGCTACTTAATGGTTTGCAAGACATTTGAAAATGGTGTCATGTACAAAATGTAAGTCTGAAAGAGAATAGAAATTAAAGTATGGGACTTAAGTCTGAAGTATTTTCTGTGTATTTACTCCGATTTCTTCATCTCATCTACTTGTCTCAGCAATGCCCTTTACCAAAATGTGAGAACACTTCAACTAAAGAACTTATGACTTGGGGTTTTCATCAACAAAACCAGAAAACATTGAGCATAACTAAACTTTTCCACATACTCTTCGTTTTTGTTAAAGAACAGGTTTTAACTTGAATAATACTTGCAAGTTCTTCTACTTAAACGACTTGAATTTTCATTTCAAAAATGAAGTAAAATTGACAACAGTTCTCACTGTGGCCAGTTAAAAGTGACGGAAGGAGAGTAGCTATGAGCTGCTCAAGACTCAAAATTTAGGCTGAAAACAAATAAAATTCTAACACTAACAGCTTTTCTGTGTCCGATACACATGGCAGAGTGTTATATTTAGTTCTGAGAATCTCTTTTCGTAAATAGGAACACTGATTGTCCACCTTCACTACTGACTCCCTTATTTGTGGTACGTTTGTCCTACCTGACTGTTAAAATATTGGCATCCATTCAGTGTGCTCTGGGTAGGTGGGGAGGGAGTTGTCTTCCCAGACCGCCAAGGGAGAAGCTTCTGTCTCCTGGTCTGGACTGTGGAAGCTGTAGAGTCACGGTTGGGCTTGGTTTCTTCCCACAGTTGTGGAACACGTTTCACGAGAGGTCCTTGGTTAAGGTAGCGTGCAAGAAGAGCCTCGCTGCACTGCAACTGGACTACCTTGACCTCTACCTGATACACTTCCCTATGGGATTTAAGGTAGTCCTGCTCTACATTCCTCTTCTCCTTACCTGGCTAGAAACATGGCATATTGTCTTATCTATGCTGTGACCATCTTCATTATGCAGTGGTTCATTTGGCTCTTAGCTGAACCTGGTGGTAGCAAGCATTCAGTCACTAACTAGGTAGTGGTATGTTTTAGCACATGGGTCTAGCTTTCCACACCTGTTGGAGCAAGATAGTTGTAGGTACAACCACTGCTAATGAGACCCCTGGGACTTCAGGGAAACTGTAACCAACACACGATGGTGCAGTTTGGGATCGTGGCCTTCTGCTGGGCCCCGGGACAGTGTCAACGCCTCAGGTTTTGGAGGTGTTGGCTTGATCTGGAGTAACCAACAGGGAAAAATTAAGCACAGCGCAGAACGAACGTGCTTCTTTTTTTCCCCAGTCTACACCTCTGTAAAATAAATAAAACCTCTAGAATAAAGGCGTGTCTGTTCCCTTCTCTCTAGATCTGCCTAAATTACTCACATAATTGCTACTAATCCCCACTCTTTGTATGCAGGGATTGATTTGTAGAAATACGGCCTTCGTCCAAAAGAGAATACTGATGAACATGCATAATTTTTAGTTATGCGATATGTTTAAATAACCTGCTAAGTTGCTGCCTATAATTTCAGTCAGAAGTGCTAGTAAACAGTAGGAAATTAAACACTTTTAAAAAGTCTATGTATTATCTGCCTTGAAATAACAGGCTGGTGAAAAACTGCATCCTGTGGATGACAATGGTATGAGTATCCCCAGTGATACCGATTTTCTGGACACATGGGAGGTAAGTTAATGTTTTCTCTTTTGAGAGGTGTCAGCACTAAAGATGGAGCAGAGATCTGCGTGCATGATGAAATTAAAGGATAGGTTTGGGTACAGAGGGTAGTCACACAAAATTGTACTTCATGACCAGAACGAGCAGAGCTGCTGCTACCCCTTGTTTTGAGGAGCAAGAGGGGATGTCTTTAATAAGACTGAAGAGTAGGAAACTATCAGCACTGTAGGTTCTGTCACTAAAATAATATTTGAATATGCACAATGGTAGAATTGAAGCGTAGATTAATCCAGGCGTGGCTGTTAATTTACTGGGTGTTTCATACAGATAGGGAATTCTTACACTTTTCGGTGTTGGGCATCAACACCTCAGGCTGTCCTTCCATCCTCCTTTCCTTGTGGACTGAGAGGATTCAGGGTCTGCTCCTGCACCTGCACCTCTGTGATGCTGCAACTCTGGGAATTAATAGTTTTCTCCACAGTAGCAGATTACAGTTGCAAGGAAGTATTCTGAGGTAACTGAGTTTAAGCTAACATCCTCCCTGCTGTGTTCTGCCGACTCGGAGGTAGTGTGCTGGCATAGGAGGAGGTGGAGGGGTCTCCCTTGGTTTTTTAGCTCTGGTGAAATGACCCCAAAAGAAGACAAAGCAAAAGATTTTGCTTCCCATTACAAAACGGTTGGCCAAGCTGTTCTTCTTATATTACTTTCCCATCTGCAATGGGACATAAAGCATACAGATAATACAAGGTGCAAAGATTTTTTTTTTTTTTTTTGAGATACTATTATTTAATCTAGTGTGGGTTGTTTGTTGGTTTGTCACTAGCTTTAGGGAAATAGAATAGTGTAGTTGACAGTAATACCACCTTGTAAATACACATTGGTTGTCCTTACCCATTAGGCCATGGAAGAGCTGGTGGATGCTGGTCTGGTAAAAGCCATTGGTATCTGCAACTTTAACCATGAGCAGATCGAAAGAATCTTGAACAAGCCAGGTCTAAAATACAAGCCAGTAAATAACCAGGTAAGATTTTTATTTCCATTGATGTCAACTAACCTTGGAATATTCCTAAATATGTTCTTGCTACACTTCAGCTCTAAAACTGCCTTCCGCCACGACCTTTAAGTAGTTTTGGTGCCATGGAAAGATCTTGCAAAGCACTAGGTATCGCTGGTTGTCTGAAAGTCCCTTCAAGTCAGTACTGCCTGCAATATGCAAGGCTTTGGTATGGTGTGAGTGTTGATGGGTTTTAGCTGACAGGGATCTCAACAGACTTGTGTGTATATAATGCAGTGGAGATTTGAGAGCAATACCATACAAAACAGCATGGATTATTCCTATCACAGTAATATGAAACAGATGAAAATATTTCCTTTTTAGACATTGGAAAAAAGTGAAAATATCCATTACCTTGTATAAGACCTTGCAACTTCCTGCCACACGTCCTCTTTCACGCTCCCAGTGTCACAGCCCAAGTTGCCACAGGCCACTTCTGCCAGCCCTGGGATAACCAGCAAAATCCCCACTGCGAGCTACTGCACAGGCATGGGAATGTACAGGGATGCTCCAACTCATTCACTGGACTTACTTTTCAACATAAAATAAATCATTTCACTAAACTTCATTATAAAAAGGAGGGTTGAAGTCTACAGTTATATAACAAATTTTCACCACATACCTCATGAATGAAATCACAGGACAGGAGGGGCATCAGGACCTTCTGACTTTCTTCCATGTGCAACTTCTTTGCACTTGGCTGAGGGTGCTGAATGCCCATCTCTGCTGGCTTGGGAATATCCGGGGAAATCCCCACACCGGGTCCCGTGCAGACGTGGTGCTGCCTGTGCTGCTGTGCTGTGGTGCTGGGCTTGGGGCTAGCGTGTGGACTGGCCAGGCTTAGCACAAGGGGGACATAGGACTTAGAAAAATTTTATCGAGGGTTATAAAGTTCTGGTGGGGATGGACCCAACTACCCCCATATTAAAAGCTGCACCAACTTCGACACTTTAAAGAACTGCAGGCCTTGACTCCAGTTTGCTTCTCCATGGGTGTGCCTGTGCCACACACTGTCATTACAGTAGTTGCCTAGTCTAGCTCAGGTCTAAATAAACTACTGTACATGGATTTCATGTCACCATGCCTGGTAGCAAAGCTGTAGCATTTAGAAATGGCTGGTATATGCATGGTGCTACGTTATGCAGCGTAGACATAGCCCTGTGGTCATACTATGGCGTGTGGCAAGTTGAGCTGCATCCCCGTGTAGGCTCCTGTTATTTCCAGTTAAAGGACGTCTTGCCGGAGTGGCTGGTCTCAACATGATCTGAGCTAACCTATGGAAGTTCCTCTCCCCAGATGTCTTCAGGAGTTGGGGAGACTCCTTGAGGAGAAGTTGGGTGACCCGGAGCAGAAACTAAACCTCAGGTATTCTGAGCTGCCCCTCTGAAGATGCAGTCCTGCTCCCCAGAAGTCCAGGAAGACTGATTTCCCCGATTCCTGATACAGATAGCACTTTCACTCTTCTCATCTATTTCTCACTATCTTTGTGTAATATGTAGCATGAGGAAGCCCTATTCTCTGTGCCAGGCCTCTAGACATTGCTGTGACATGAATAACTTTTTTATAAGATAGATTTTAATCATGATATTGGGAGTCTTTTCTTCACATTTTCACATCTTCACACCCAAGAATTAAAGTGTTAGTTATGCCCTGAAGCTCAGTGCAATCTGCCTCTGTGTCAACCACCGTGTTTCTGTGCTTGCAGATCGAATGTCATCCGTACCTAACCCAGGAAAAGTTGATCAAGTACTGTAAATCCAAAGGGATTGCTGTGACTGCTTACAGCCCCCTTGGGTCTCCTAACCGTCCATGGTAAGAAAGCATTGCAGCCTTTCTGTGTACAGAACAATACATTTGCAACTTGAATCTTTGAGGCAAATGATGTAAATAATGCAGGTATAATGAGAAAAGCACTGTTGCTTTGTTGCAGATTATTTCACACAAAATGCCAGGCTTCCCACAGGGAAGCTGATACCTTTCTACTATCAATATCCTGGCTTTTGTTTTTAATAGGGCCAAGCCAGGGGACCCTGTGCTGCTGGATGATCCCAAGATTAAAGAGATTGCAGTTAGACATCATAAAACCCCTGCCCAGGTAAGTGGGGTTGTCAGGCCAACTGTTCCTCCTCAGACGTTTTTACAGGCTGGTGGCCAGTCTTAGCAGATGCTGCCTTCTCTAAAGGTACAGTATAATGGTGTTGAACTGCACTTGACTCTTCATACTGCCCCAGTTCTTACCAGCACTCATACGAATTATCAGGTATTTTCTAAGAGAACTTGAGTGCTGAGCTTTGGGGGAGCTGATCAGCAGTGGTACGTGCTGACTTCAGGTGTCCCCCTTCCTAGAGAGATTTCTTCTGCTCCCAGAGAGAAGAGCTTGCTCCCTGAGAACCCCTTTCCTCTGAGGTTTACACAAATCATCAAGCCAACTTGTTACTCCTTTCTCCAGCTAAGTTAGCCAAGTTATTCTTCAGAGAAGCCCTGTAATTTGCAGACGTATTTGATTGCTCCCTGTTTGCTCATGTTCACAAAGAATCATTGAAAGCTGCGTGATTATTCAAGATGAAAATTTTTCTCTATCAGTTGCTAGTCGCACAAATGAGTTCTTGCGCAGGGTCTGCAGAAACTGCACTTCAAACAATCCACATGTTCACAGGCAATCAACCATAGTCATATTTTAAGACAGGCAGAGCAGGACAAAAAACTGTATGCAACAGTCCTCTTTTGAGGTGAGAAAACTTTTAAAATCTATAAATATGTTTTTCCTTTTAAGGACTTCAAAAAGCTTAACCTAGGTAAGATACTTACCTGTGAGCCCAAAATAATCTGCAGTATCATTATGCTCATTTGGTCTGAGCACCCATAGAACGCAAGACAGAACCATCATCATTTTTCTCCCCCCTCCTACCCTAAATGAAAACAAAACAAATCCTGGAGAAGCTAGGATGTAGAAACAACATAGGCCAGAAACCATTATAGCTGTCAGTAGACTGCAAGCAAATGCTGGCACATTATCCTGGTTTCAGCTGGGATAGAGTTAACTTTCTTCCTAGTAGCTGGCATAGTGCTGTGTTTTGGATTTAGTATGAGAAGAATGTTGATGACACACTGATGTTTTAGTTGTTGCTAAGTGGTGCTTATGTAGACAAGGACTTTTCAGCTTCCCATGCTCTGCCAGGTGCACAAGAAGCTGGGAGGGGGCACAGCCAGGACAGCTGACCCAAACTAACCAAAGGGATATTCCATACCATATAACATCATGCTCAGAATATAAACTGGGAGGAGTTGGCCGGGGAGCAGCGATTGCTGCTCGGGGACTGGCTGGGCATCGGTCAGTGGGTGGAGAGCAGCTGCATCACTTGTTTTTCCTGGGTTTTGTTCCCCTCTCTCTCGTCGTTTTCCTCTTCATTTCAATTTATTATTATTGTTGCTGTTACTATTTTATTTCAAGTATTAAACTGTTCTTCTCTCAATCCACGAGTTTTCTTACTTCTACCCTTTCAATTCTCTCCCCCATCCCACTGGGGGGAAGGGTGAGCGAGCAGCTGTGTGGTGCTTAGTTGCCGACTGGGGTTAAACCACAACACACATCAAACTCCTGTATGCAAACCAGTAGAATCTTCCAAATAGTAAACATGGTTGTAGAAAGAGAAATTGGTTTGTGCACGAAAAAACAAAAAAGGTAAGAGAGAACACAAAATGCATTTGAACAGATTTCTTGGTACCCCTGTGTTCATGCTCCTCCTTACCCTCCTCTCCTAGGTTCTGATCCGGTTTCTTATCCAAAGAGACGTGATTGTCATTCCCAAGTCTGACAAACCACAGCATATTGAGGAAAACATCAAGGTGAAGTTTCCATTGGGACTGCTGCCACCTTTTTACACAGGATAAGCCCCCACACCCATATCTCCTCCATGTTTCCAAGCAGCACCTGAGAGGCATTGGAAGGGGAGTGCAGAGATGTAAAGATTGGGGCTCAGCACTACCTAACCATCCACACTTGTTCTCTAGGGAACATTTGTCCCATTTTGTTCCTGTCAAGAGAGAAATGGGTTACACCAGGGTGGTCCAAGCTCTGCTGCCCTGGAAGGGGAGTCCCAGCTTTGAACTTGCCCTCTGGGAGATGCTTAATGAGCCCCTCTTTAGGGTGTAAAGGAACAAACTGTAAACACCAGACCCATTATGGTTTATGTCTCACTTTGAGGCTGTGGTGCCCCTTGGCAGGGAGGTTCAGCTGGATGTTTGCTCATAAGGCCTGGCATCTTAGATGATATCTCTGTGTTACTTTCAATTCATGCTGCTACATTTTGGACTTATTTCTCCTGTGAACCACTAGCAAGAATTCTTAGATGATTGATTAACTATTTGCAGTTGGTACCCAGTAGTCCTCTGTTGTAGCAGAAATATTTATTGCTGGTTCCAGTAATTGTGATGGATCAAGTAATCCATCCCTAGCACCTTAAGTTTTCTGTCTGTGCATGACAACACAAACTGCAGTGGTGTTTGCACTCAACCACCCGGAACTATAAGACACTGCTATGAACAGCGCCTTAGAGAGAAAAGGACTATCTTGATTACTTCAAGGGCAAATTGGTATTTGGCTGAGAAATAAGAGGATTTCTTAAGCATGCTTAGTGTGGATGCAGTATGTTCCTACCTCAAGTCATAAATGCATAAAGCACGCTTAGTAGCTAACTACTCATGAACCTATGTAAAAAGGGGCTTACATTTTTTTTTTTCCCCCCTGCTAGGTGTTTGACTTTGAACTGTCTGAAAAGGAGATGGATGTCATCCTCAGCTTTAACAGGAACTGGAGGGCAGTTCCAGTGCTCCCGTATGTTCCTTATTATCCTCTAGGCCTATCTCTATATGTATTTTCATCCGCCATATCTTGAAAACCTACATGACCACAACCAGGTAGAGCTCATATCTTAACGCCTGGACCTCAGGCAATGAAACATGTCCTGGAACTGACATCAGGAGGGTGATTCATTCAGGGCATTCCCTTCAGCATCTTGGTGTTGCACGTGCTTGTTCACAAGCCTGTGTTCAAATTAATGACAGCAGCAAAACTTGAGTACATTGGCGGTAGGGGAGGGAGACTGCAGTAGGGAAATGCTGCTGAAGATACTTTCTACAATACTTAAATAACCAGTTCTTTCTCTTCTCAGAGCTGTCAATCACAAGGACTACCCATTCAAAGCAGAATATTAATACCAGCGGTTTCTGCGAGACGTCCGTGTAACTCCTTCCAGATTAGAAGACGTACGCTGTAGCTTAGTCTTGATGAGTTCTTCTGTACTTGACAATCATTAAGAGCAGTTACTTGTCCTCCTTTTTTAGGAGGAGACCACTAGCTGGTATAAAAATGCATCAATAGGGATGGGTCTTTTGTTATGATGATTAACAGAAATCTGGTTTTGATTAGTAGTAAAAAGACAACGTCTCTTCATTTCCTTTTTTCCTTGTCTTCCTTAATTAAAGACATGTTTAACAAAAAACTTTGGTTGGTTACAAGATTTTTTATATGTTATTTCCAGTGCGGTCAGTCATACTGGCTCATGAATTGCTGTCAAGGAATGCTGTCTTTAATTACTTTGCTTTTTACATAGTTGTGATTTTTATAGTGTGAATCTCTAATGCTTTAATATTTTATATGAATAAAGTTTGAATAACAACAAAACTTAATCAGTGTAGTGCTTAAATTGTTTCATACAATAAGTTATAAAACATGCCTGAAGTCTGGTTTTTTTTAAATTTTAATACAGATAGAAATGAGCTTTTGTAATTCCTGTACAAGGACAATACATAGAGACTACTTTGTGGCTTATGCATCAAAGAGGATCGTGCTCTAGCTAGAACCTAAAGAACAAAGTTGTACCTATTACTCCACGTAGCCCTCCCTCCGGACAACTAGAAATTGAACTCTTGTGTGATAAGAGGTGAAAAGTTGAAGACAGCATCATATGCAGTGATAATACACATCAAAATACACCCAGCCAAACATAAGGGCTACCTAAAAAATCAGACTGACTTGCTCTGGAAATCTCAAACACAAATTAGATTTTTGCACCTCTGCTGGCAGCATTCAGAACAATATATCCAGACAAGGGTTGGCTTTATCTAAGGAAAACATAGAAAAACTTTTCTTTAAAAACACAAAAGCAAACCCTCAGGTAGACTTACAATTGCTTTAAGGTATTTTCAGATGGGTAATGCAAAGGCAGGCTTGAAAAAGGCTGTTTTGTGGCATTCTGCACACTGACAAGAGAAAGTCTGTCTCGGACGCCGAGTGAGCTGCAGGAAAGCATGACCAGAAGCTAAGGTGACAATCTGGTATCATCTGAAAAATCATCACCTCATCATGGTATTGAAACACCAAAAAAACTTGCAGCACTGCTGACTCAGCCACCAGGATCTGTCTTTGGCAAATTCTGCCAGGAGGTGATGCCAGCTGGTGGGAACAAACCATGACTGCACCACTTTACAGTATTTCCTACAAGTAAAACTGAAGCGTGCCCAGCACGCTTCCACCCTCTCAGAAAAGGCAATAACCAGGAGCAAAAGAAACTTACCTACATCAAGAAGGAAAAGCCTCACTTCAGCAAAGATTGCAGAGGAACGTAGCAAGGTAGTTGGTCAGTACAAGGCAGGAGAACAGGCACGCTTGCAAGCGTACAAGCTCTTTTCAGGTTAAATTAGGCAGCATCAGATTATTTCTCCCCCAGCGGTTCCGAAAGCTGCAGCCTTCCCAGTGCTTCCCGTGGAGCTGGCAGCAGGCTGGGGGGCCTCTTTCAGATGACCATGACCTGGTCAAAGCAGGGCGTTAACATGCTGTGCTGCCGTTAGAGAAAAAATGAAAGGGATAGGAGGACAACAGGAAAGCCAGCAGCTCCCCCAATCATCCAAGCCTGGAAGCACATCCCACCGAGGCAGACAGAAGAAATACGACGGCTCTCACACCGAGAACATTTTTCAAAGCAGGAAAGCAGACAGCTATGCTGCTAGGTCAGAACCTACTTCATTGAGCACGCTGACTTCTGGATGATGCACAGCTCCTGTCTTGTACTGATAGGCATGACAATTAAGATTTTTTTTTTTCCTCAAGAATAAGTAGGTTAAAGCTGCTGATTTTACGACTTGGCTGTCTGGTGTAGGATAGTACACCAGGAGAGACATTCTTTGAGGTTCTTTGCAACGATACCTTATTTTACACGGCCTTAGCATGATTCCTATCCCAGTTACAACAACTGGCTTGTACCTACTCATTAACAAACACGGGGCTGCTGATGGAAATACTCCATTTATTGTGGATGCAGTTTCAGAATACATTGTTTGAACAAATAATTTTTATTGCAGCTATCGGATGTATTTGAAAGACTCAGAGGAGTGTTTACAAAACCCCCAAACAAAAAACATGACAACTCATAGACAATGTCAGGCACAGTTTCACCCCCTACAGATAACTACGTGCATCTCTATATGTAAACAAGATGTTTCAGCCAAGCGAGGGAGCTCATCTTTGGGTTGAAATATAACATTATTCTCCTTTAGGAAGAAGTCAGATGCTGTAAGAGATGGAAGTGGTGAAAAGGGAGATCCTGGTAGTTCCGATGCACAACAAAGCTGTTAACAACGTGCTGAGGGGCTAGTTCAGTTGCTCAGTTTATGCCACCCATACACTGTAGGATGTAAATGCTAAACTGTATGGCATGTAAATTCAAACCAAGCTGACGTCTTATAGCCATGTGTTTACTATATACAAATGAAAACATCTGTAATGTAAATAAGATATTCGGGAGTGAGAGTTAAGAAGAAGCACTATAAAGATAGAGGTTTACTTCATTTTAGGTGGACTTAGTGTACGGCACTGATGGATGGCAAGATTTAGTGTACAGTCATTTGAAACAAGCTCCAACGGTGTTTAGGTTTTTTTTCTTTTTAATTATGGTAGTTTTATATAAATTAAACTACAATGTTTTATACAAGTGACCTATTTTTGACCCTCTATAACCTTACCTTTTCCTCTTTTAAAAACTATACTTTCTTTTTAATTACCCATTACTGGGCAACTGACATTTAAAATTTTTTAATACTTATCTTACCATACCTCTAATGGCAATTATGAAATTTTACTATAGAAAAGTGTGTGATTTTGTCTTTATTTTTTTAAGCTGTGATATTGGCTAATTATGTATGTTTATTACTAAATATAATACTCTAGCACGTATTAAAGCATTCTACCATTAGTAGTGCCTTTAGGCTAAACTTTTTAAAGCTATGTGTGTATATATTCTAAATTGCATTCAATTACTAGTCACTAACAACAAAAAGAAATATCAGTACCGCTGTCAGCTAACATAATCATCCAAATTTAGGTATTAACTTAAACTAGAATGGAAAAATTGATACTTAAAAAAAGTATAAAACAAAAAAATTAAAACACGTTATTGATGCAGTATTTCTCATGACATGGGCAACTTACAGAAAATATTACATTGTCAACTAAAGATATTTCTTCCATGCCTTAGTCTAAAGTGCAGAAAGAAAGACTTCTGTATTACAAAAGTAACCATTGTTTTTATAGGTTTACTGCACACCTTTCTTAAGCAATTTCACTTTACGTGCATTTTGGATTGACCTCTTATGCCAGTTGAAATCACTGTTCAGATACATAGTTATTTAGGACTATCAGTAGGAGAGTCTATATATTTCACAGCATGGGTTTCTTCAGGAATAAAGGCTCTTGTGCAAAGGCAGTACTATTATGATGAATGTCTAGACTGATTATTAAATACAGTGCTAATATACATGGTTTTAACTGGGATAATGCAAAAAGACATTTTGGTAAATAAACATAAATATAAAAAGAACAATTTAGCACTTTTTCCTTTTTTTTTTTTCCCCCCAACTGATTGGTCCAGCGTCTTTAGTGGCCTTCTACGGTTCTTTCTCAAATTGTCTCAAACCTGCTGAGAAAGAGAAAGATTAAAGATGGCTTGGAATAACCCAACCGTATCTCTAAAATAGAGAAGGCGTGGCTCTAGATTAACACACAGCACGTAAGAAGGCAGGACACAAGCTGGACGCTGCTGTGCTTGTGTACTGGGATTGCTCAGAGGTGGTCTCCAAGAGGACAAGCAGGATTTCGCCTCTCTTGCCTCTGACAGCCCCGGGAAGCAGCTCAGGGAGAGCTCAGGAGCTTCCCACCCAGAAATGCAGGGGGTGCTGCACCCAGCGCTCTCCCCAGCCACACATGGGTGGCTGCACGCTAAGGCAGGCTGTGCTGCAGTGCTTGGTGCACGCTCTCCGAGCCCACGGCAAGACTGAAAGCCGGCTCCTGAGAGCCTCCTCCTGCGACCCCTCTGCTGAAGCCCTCATCTCACCCAGCCTTAGAGGAGGGGCTCGGCCGTGTCCGAACCACTCAGCGGGGTCTGCTCCCATAGGCAACGATGCGTGACTGCTAACGCCTTCCATGGGAGCAGAGCAGCGCTACCGCTGAGCAAGCCTGAAAACCCCTCTCCTAACAGCTCGGTTTGAAAAAAGATAGGAGGAGGAGGAAGACAATTCCAGTTTGCATGACTCTAAACTGATAAGAAAAGTTCACAGGCATACATATGAATGTGAAGAAAAATGTGTGCACATATTAATGTGTAGAAAACCAAAAGTTTTTCTATATTTGATCATTTCATTCCTAGTGAAGAGTCAAGGGACGTTGCAAGACATCTTAAAGCTATTAAATTGATCAGTGAATTTCCATTCTTCCCCACTGGTCCTTAGGCCCATATTTCCTTTAATTGGTTTTATTTGGAGTGTTTCAGATTAAAATAAAAATTTAAAAAGTGCACAAAAGCTAGGAGGGGAATTTTGCTGATTTCTTTCCATACAACTAGGTTGTGTTTCCCAAACCACTAGTTTCAAAATGACAGTAGTAGGACTCTTTTTGCCTTGAGAAGACACCAATGCACAGCTCCAGAAAAAGCAGTGCTGCTGTTGAGTGCATTTGAACTCCATTCCAGTCTGGGTATGCAGGAGCACATGAGACTCACAACCAGCCAGAGGAGTCATTTTTTAAAATCAACACTGCTGAATTTTCATCAGGCTTCCCTATTACCCAGTGGCAGTGTTTAAAATCAGACGCAGGGCTCATTCTCAGTAGCACTGAAATCTTCCATTTCTGCTCAAATAATGCTGCGGCAACAGCCTCACTTTTT